AGCTGTAGTTCAACAACATCTGGAAAGCTACAGGTTCCAGACGAACCTGTGCTACGAAAGCAAGCAAGGAAGAAATGTGCATCGTAGACTCCAGAAGGAAGGAAGCCTGCTCTTTTCTGCAGTATTTGTCCATCTAACTTTGACCATAAGCAATCATATCCTCACTTGTGTTCAACTGGAGGAGGGATTAAGCACTAAAATTTGTACTATGATCCAATTTAGCTCTATTAAGTCGTTCAGATTTTTCCAACTGTTTATGTTAATCCTATTGAGCGTGCGCGCACACCCATTCATATCTTCACAACAGAGAACTATTTTCAGCTTCGTTACACACGCTTTGAATACGCCTGCCTGTTTTACAGCAGACATATTTTCAGAGTTGCTTTCTTTCCTTTTCAGCTGTGGTATACCTAAAAAAAAGTTAGTTTCATCTACATGGTGGGGCAGTGGAGGACTAGATGCCCCTCTCATCCACCAAGCACCTGCTATATTATGTGAAGCTATGTGGAAATTTGTACATGCAAACATGATTTGTATGATCTTCACCTCTTTTTTAAAAACAGCATGCAAATCGGAGCATCAACCTCATTTGTGGAGGGCATGCCTGTTTCTCTAATGCATGAAGAGTATTGCAAGCCTGCTAAGTGTAGGAACTGGGCTGTAGATTTCTGATAAATTCCTGCTACTACATCTAATTCTACCACCCACAGTCTGTTAATAGGCAAGGGTAGTAAAGTGTTTCTCACAATATGGCTGCCATGCTTGAAACTTCCTTCTCATGGCAGCTGATCTACAGGGCCAGCAGTTTCATGCACTTCATGTCATCCTATGGACTGGTCCCCACAGTGCGATTTCTATCTGTGCTTCAGCTTCATTTACCATGCCTATTCATCATCAATTTCATTTTGATTACTCATACCACACCCATCACTGTGCTAGGCACCATGCATAAATTACTGTTTCTAATTATAGCTTGCTGGAGTGTGGAAAGAAGCCATGTGGTAGGGCCAGATCTGGGAAGTGTGAGCTGGTGAACATGAAATTGCTTGCAGTGTACACGAAAGACCACACAGAAGCGATTTCAGGTGGCTTCCCCCATGGCAGCCAGATCATGTGAGGTGGTCCTCTAGAGCAGTGTTCCCCAACCTTGGGCCTCCAGCTGTTTTTGGACTACAATTCCCATCATCCTTGACCACTGGTCTTGCTAGCGAGGGATGATGGGAGTTGTAGTCCAAAAACAGCTGGAGGCCCAAGGTTGGGGAACACTGCTCTAGAGTCAATGTTTCAGTTTCATTAGCCAAAAATAGGCATAGAGATTTCTCCAAGAGAGTTGTGGGCTCAACACCAATGAGCTTCAGTCAACTTGAATAATGTTTTGTTTATTTAAAGGTATATAACGCACCATGCCAAGGGCTCAAGGCAGAAAGCAACAGTTTTCAAATTATTAATAAAGTATATAGGTGCAGAATGCAAAAGTGTTATTTGAATGTCAAGTCTTTTATTCTGGGACAGGATAGTAACTAAACTCTTGAAAGCCAGGTAATATGTTTCTCTCCCCATTTTTCATAGTTTCCCCCACATATTCATCAGGCCTTGGCTGTCTTCTAGCTGTGTCCCGACTGTATTTCTTTAAAGTTATTTATAATTCAAGACCTGCAGTTTGACAAGCAATGTGACTTCTTTCTTCTCCTTGTTGCTGTTGACTCTATTTTTCTTGCACTCACACGGTCCCAAACCAGTGCTGGGCAGCATGGCAGGGTGGCAGTGCTCACCTGACTTCCAGTCAATTGTGTCACTCCTGCTTACTAGGAGCTAGAGGGAAGGAACAAGGTGGCGGTGAGATTAGTGTGGTGCAAACACACCAGCAGGAGCACTGGTTTGGCTTCGTCAGTTCATTAGCACCGTGCTGACCTTACTCCTCTACATCCTGGTCAGCAACAGTAATGCAGCTGAGCACTGCTGTCCCACCACATCTGATACTGGCCTCCTCCTCCTTTGCCACTTCACCTGTCTACAGCTAGTTTGGTTTTGTGCTTGCTATGGCATGCCTGCAATGATTCCCACACGAATCATCTAACAGGCACTGGTGGAAGGACACGAGGGGGTTCTTAAATGTAATACCACCTCTTCCAAATTTTCTGCAATTGTGCAGAAAGAGGAAAGCACTTCTTAAAACCAGGAACATTAAGGAGGATGTGAACAGTTAGAAAGGGGCTCCATTCCTCTGGGACAGTGGTGTAGCGTGGGTTGTCAGCACCCGGGGTAAGGCAAGTAATTTGGGCCCCCTAACCCGTGGATTTGCCCTAACCCCAGATGTTGCGCCCGGTGCGGCCGGCCCCCCCTGCACCCCCCATGCTACGCCACTGCTCTGGGATAGAAGAGTAGAGCAACTCCAGAAAGTTCTGGGGGGCATATAAAATGAGGTTGGGGACTGCACCATTGGCTGCAGGTTGTTCACCTTTGCTCTCTATAGAAAATATACCTTGTTGATCAGGCTTCCTGAAAGGGAATTTGAAAGACAGAGTTTCTAATACACAAATCTACAATTCAGTTAATAAACTCACATTATTTTCATATAAATGCATTCATATTGGAACCTGCTGTCTGCAGTCTGAGGATCATTGCATTTGTACAATTCTTTTATTTATTTCAATCGCATGCTGTTTTTCAAACGTGATTGAACAGTGCAGTGTGCAGAAAAGTAATATTAGCAGCTCAACATAACAATAACAGAGACAGAAAAAGTTTTTTTTATAAAACAACACCGTAACATGCTGCACATGTAATAAACACTTCGGTGTTTTAGATCTGGTACATATGGCACCATGTAGTTTCATTGAGACTTCAGCACAAGTAACTATATAGTAAGCAATCTAAATATGTTTCCTGGGGCATTTTCCAGATAAAGTTGGGTTTGTATGAGAGGGGGGACATGAATCTGAAAAAGTAGATTAATATTTTGAGGCACTGTTTCGTTTTGTTCTGTTTACTAAATGGAGTTTTACAACTAAAAACATGGTTTTGTGACTAAGAATGTGGAAAATTAGGCAGTATTAAATTTAAAGCTAAACGTGCTGTTCTTTAATATTGCTCATTGATTTATTGTTGCATGCTGTAGTTTAAATAACTTTATATACTTTACCAAATTAAAACATTATTGAAGAGAGAAAGAAAAATCTAACTACTAAGGTTAGATTTTGCCACATTTGCATTGTGTATCTCCTTAATAAAACATCTTTTTGTATATCATTGTAACAGAAAATAATGTGATTTACTCAGTGTTTTGATAATACTCTTGTTGTGTAAAATCAATTATCACAAATTGGGTGAATCTGTAACCTCTGAAATCAAAATACACAATTGTAGGCAACCTTTATGAGAAAAAAATCCAGACAGACACTATGAAAATTGGACCTCGTTTATTTTTACATGTCTGCTTCCTGAATCACCTGGAAACACCTTGACCATTTGAGGGATATACTTTGAGCCCCCTATTTTCTGAGAGTGATACGCTAACGTCCACCTCAGACTCTTTGAGTAATCAGAGTACCTTGCCTGTATATGGTACATGAGTGGTTTGAACAGTTTGGGGTATACATTGAGTCACCAGTTTTGTGACGAGATGTACATTGCATCAGGCTGCGTGTGCACCTGATTTCAAGAGTGTAGCTGTTTGAGAAGTAACCTATCAATTTTGATAGCCTTGTGAGTGAGAGAGTCTGTCACTCAGGCCCAATTAGTGAGTGATATAATGTGATATAATAACTGTAAATCAAATACTCAAATCAAAGTCTGAAGAGGCTATGTACAGGATGGTATTCAACTGTTATTCAGAGGTGACACTTAAATTAATTAAACATACCTAAGTTAGATCCATTAATTTCAACTTAGCTGAATACAAGCCACAGCTTGGCTTTCTTTCTGGAATGCCAGCTTCTCTTAAAGGTAAAGGTAAAGGGACCCCTGACCATTAGGCCCAGTCGTGACCAACTCTGGGGTTGCGGCGCTCATCTCGCTTTATTGGCCGAGCATGACTAAGCCGCTTCTGGCGAACCAGAGCAGCGCACGGAAACACCGTTTACCTTCCCACCGGAGCGGTACCTATTTATCTACTTGCACTTTGACGTGCTTTCGAACTGCTAGGTTGGCAGGAGCAGGGACTAAGCAACGGGAGCTCACCCCGTCATGGGGATTCGAACCACCGACCTTCTGATCGGCAAGTCCTAGGCTCTGTGGTTTAACCCACAGCACCACCCGCATCCCTTCTCAGCTTCTCTTACAAAGGGTTTAAGTGTGAGGTGTAAAAATGCTCCTTTTTCAGACTTTAGCATAGACTAAGACTGGGGCCTTAGCCAGTTAGTTGTATAGAAGCCAGTGCAATGATTGGCTGAACTCACATCTATCACACTTGGAAGCATTGCATGGTGTTATTGTGAATAGGATAACGAAGTATAGTTATATTTATGTTAAGATGATTGAATGCTACAGTTCTACAGATACAGTAGACTCGCAACCTACACACATTTAACTTGTGCACATTCAGCTTTACAAGCTTGGCAAATAAATAAATAGAAAGCGGGTGGGCATCTGGGGGGAAAACTTTGGCAATCCCACCCGCCATTGCACCCAATGTGATTTGATTATACACGATTTTGGCTTCATGCTCTGTCCCTATAATGTATCCCCTGCATAATTTGTGGGTCTACTATACTGCCAAGATTTATCAGCTTTAAACAAGCAAATGTTCTTTTCTTGGTTTAGAATCTATTGTACCACCTATAACTATGTAGCAAATTTGGAATTGTATCATACAAATATTTGCAAGCAAATCATTATATTAATATTAGCATGCCTATGTCTTGTGTATACACAGTGCTTCTTTTTGTTGTTTGAATACTTCTTGTTCAAGTTGAAATAAGGTCTAAGTTGCATGTAAACCATTTGTTTCTTTAAAAGTTTTTCGTCTCCTTGTAATAGGCTTCCATTATGTGTTTTTACAGCAAATTTAGTAGTGGAGGAACGAACGAGACAGATGAAAATGAAAATGCACCGTTATAACCAGACAACAGAGTCTGGTTCTAGTCAAGAACTTGAACGTGAGCAATATACTAAGGTAAAGTTAGTGTTAAAATATAATACTTTATTTGGAAAGGGGAAGGAGAAACCTTGATTTAAAATATGATCTGACACAAAAGGAAGTCACTATAAATACTAACTTTATTTGGGGGGCATAATTTCATCCATTCAGTTTTTACAGCGCATCAGAAGCTCCTGAAACAGTTGTCTTGCTACAGTAGTCTTTATTCCTATGTAATGGGAGCTGTAGAATCAACCCAGGGGGCCTTTCTGACTTCACAAGAAAGTGGCAAGAGTTATTTGCATATTTGCGTTTGATGTTTTTCTCTTAGGTAGATATTTTGGTGTAATTGGAATAACTGGAATAAGTGCCTTGCTTCTTGAAGATACATAGCAAGGCTTGGAATGGTTGATCTGATTTATAAGTGTTTACTAGATTATTAAATTTAAGATTTCATTATTCATGGGGTTTTTTGTTTCTTTCTTTTTTTTAAGAAAAGCAAGCCTACCAATGAAATTCTTTAATCAGAACAGTGGAGATGAGCAAGATGAGAGGGTGGAATCTTTGAGAGACATTGCCCCAGTATGGTTACTACCGTTTCTGCAGCTGCTCCCTGTACTAGATTAGGTTGTATGCAAAACTACATCTAACATGGACTGTAGTTTGCCTGGATGCTGGGCTTGCATTTCAGGCAGGAAGCTTCAGTCCTTCTTCTGTAGAATAGAAATCCCCAACAATAACAGACTTCTCAGGATGATTCCAGGTTCTTTATCAGTCATGTTTGAGGTGCTACACCAGTTTCTGACTGCACCAGACTTGGCCATTTCCATGTATGGCCCAATTAAAGCTGCCAAACTGCAAACATGATTTTTAGATCAAGTATAAAGAACCTAAGGCAAATAGAATAGCTTGAAGGATCTGAAGGTGTTTGGAACACACTGAACCTGGTACCTTCCAGGTGTTTTGGATTAGCCCATTAGCCAGGTTGGCTGGGGCTGATGGGAGCTGGAGTACAAAACTTCTGAGAAGACCATGTTTGCTACTCTGAACCAGTGAGAAGGCTTGTTGAAAGTTGGATATTTTTGTTTGGAAATAATGAAACTGCATGCACAGTTTGCTGGTATGCATCTCCAGCTTGCAGCTAGTGCAAAAGTTAAGTTGTGCTACCTAGCAGGGCTGCACCAGATTTTCAACCCTGAAAAAATCTGAGCTGAAAAGTTTGGGAGGGGTTGTAAAGGCCCTCCCGAGAAAGACAGACTTACCTTTTCCTTGGTTTTTCATTCACTTCATTATTCCTGTTGTTACTTCTCTAGAGTCATCCCCCCCCCCCCAACTAGCCAACCAGGGATCATGGAGTGTGGAAGATAACATCAAGACACTACATAGCCAATCAAATTTTGCTTGCAATATCATTACTGAGGGCAAGCAAAACAACAGTTACGTTACTGGGAGGAATTCAGTATATCCCTGCATTGCCAAAGCAAATGTTTCCTGCACTCTGAGGATACTTTAATTGCCTCTCACAGTATAATGTCATAAAATGGAGCAACATCTAGTTGCCTTGATAATGCCTTTCCACTTGCTCCTGTATAATGGATAAAGTTTCCCCTGTGTGCATATTTAGTCAAAAAAGATTGCCATAAGAGAGTCCGTTTTCACATGGGCTTGTATACTTTATGAAAAGGTGTTCCCCATTTTAGTTTAGGCTTAGATTGGAGACTTTAAACAGTGGAACCCTGGGTTCAATCTGAAATCTGTCGGGCACATAGTGAAGCTGATCTAATTATGTTTGCATAATGGTTCTTGCACTCCATTATAAGCTGGAGATTTTTGGGGAAGCAACATTTTTAAATATACGCCAGGGTGGATAACTTTTTGTACTATGCTTTCTCACTGCTCTGATATATCTGTATTTAGTGGGCTGGGTATTATTTATGTTATTACTGCTGTATTTAATATTTGTGATGCTTTCTATGCACATATGTACATTGTCCCGGAATCTCTTGGCTACAGCGGCTGGGCTAGTGAGGAGAGAGGTCAACCATGAGCCCAGGCTTGGATGTTATGCTAAGCCAAACCTTGATTTAGCTCAGCACAGTACAGGGGTTTATAAAGACCAAGAAGGAACAATGTGCGAGCTCGGCTTTGGGAGCCCACACCTTTGTTTAACTTACCACAGCCATTGTTAAGATTTTTGTTGCATAGCTTATGAGATAAGTTCAACAAAAGGGAGGGAACCTGATATACAAAATAGCAAAAGACATCTATGAAAGCTTATTACATCTAAATATTTCCAGTACCTTTCAACTCAATAGAATACTCTTTGAACAGGTTGCTTCAGTTTTCAAATGTGGCTGGCTATTATAATTTTAGGACTAAAATCCCTATGATGTGCAATAGATGCTATCAGCTTTACTTCACACCTTAACATTATACTTAAAAATCTGTGCCTCTTTCCCAAGGTACCAAGTATTAGCTGTAGTCTATTTTGTAGGTATGTGTGTTCATGTCTTACTGAAATCCATGCAGTTCCCACTGGTTTCAGTACATGAATGTGCACAGCTAGGTGTTAATAGCCGCCATTGTGAACAATGCTGACACTGCCATTATGCTTATTTATTTAATTAGGTTATTTACCTAATTCAATAACTTTACGTTACCATAAAGTTCCGGGGTGGGTTACAACAATAAAATATACAATTATAAAATAAAGCAAAAGCAACCATAAAGCAAGAAAAGCATGAGAACAGTTAAGAACAGTTCCACATATAAATCATTTTAAAATAATTCCATATATAAAAACAATAGAAACATTTAAAAAAAAACCAATAAGAATAAAAAACACCCAGTAAGTTAAAAATACTTCCAATACAGATGTGGACTGGGATAAAGATATCTACTTAAAAGTCTTGTTGAAAGAGGATGATCTTTCAGGAACAGTGAAAGGACAGTAGAGATGGCACCTCTCTAATATGTAGCAGGAGGGAATATGTAGCAGTTCTTTCAGCTGAATTGGACTTTGTGCACATTCTGAACATTTGTGCTAGTAAGTAGTAACTGCCAGTACTGGTCTGGTACACTGTTTTATGACAGTATAGGCAGGAATAGCCATTTGTATTCCCCATAGCGAGCCATTATGTATGGGCTCATCAAATGTTAGGAACAGCACAGGGACAAGCAAAGCTCCTCCCAGGGTTGTGGGTATCCAGGCATGCTAAATGTCTGCCTAGAAGCTTCTTTATGGGATGTAAACATAAAGCAGATGTCATCATCACTTATCAACCTCTCAGTTTTATATCTTCAATTAATATAGCCTTTGAAATTGTCAACGTGCTAAAATGCTACTGTTGTCAACAGAATATTTTTTAAAATAATAATAATAATAATAATAATGCCACCAGGCCAATGCTGAAAATGAGAATGGTAATATCATCTTATGAGACTCCTTGGCACAATGCTACCCAGTAGTTGGTTTCTTGTTTATTCATAGCAACTTTAGAGAGCCTTCAGTAAGCTGGGGCCCTCGATGATTTGGACTACAACTCAGCTAGCATAGCCATGATGGGGCTGATGGGAATTGTAGTCCAAGGAAGCTGGAGCACATCAGGTTTGGGAAGGCTCGTATAGAACTGAAATCATTTATAAACGAGGCCATTTATTATTATTATTTTTGAGGAAAACTGGCCCCTGAGCCATTTGTTATATTCTGAGAACTATTCCCTGTCAGTGGTGGAGCTTCATAATCTGGCACGGGGGGGGGGGGGGAGAGCAGGTGGGGGCGGGGCTGACGTGCTTCTTGGGGGCGTGGCATGCCACCCACAGGGGCGTGGCACCCAGCGCAGGCGGTGGAGCAGCCGCAATGGCACCCCACTGGGATCGTGCTGCCGGGGGCGGTACGCTCCCCCCGCACTCCTCTTCCTCTGCCAGTGTTCCCTGTACTGGTCTGGCAAATAAAACGTTGTTCTTTTGGGGGTTTCTTTCAATAATAATAATAATAATAATAATAATAATAATAGAAATTTTCTGGAGTATACCAGTGTCACAACGATATAATGATTTGTAACACCATGAAGCTTTTCCCTCCCTCACACTGTGTCAAGAGAACTCACACTTTCTCTTTTAACTCTTTAGTATAACATACAAGCAGATCAGTACAGAAGTTGTGATAACGTCTCTGCCAAATCATCAGATAGTGATGTCAGTGATGTGTCAGCCATTTCCCGTGCCAGCAGTGCCTCACGTCTCAGCAGCACAAGCTTTATGTCAGAGCAATCAGAGCGCCCGAGGGGCAGAATCAGGTGAGTTTGCAATGTAGACATATATAGATATTTCAAATAGTCGATTCTTTACACGCATATACAAACAGCCATTGCTAGTTGCAAGGGGGGGGGGAGGAAAAAAGGAAACTCAAACTTTGGATTATGACTGCTGAAGCAGCAAAACAAAATCTGAGCAGCTATCAATAGTGGGTCAGCTTGAAACCCAGAACTTTAACAGAATCATTTATTGCAAAGTCCTAGTCATACAATCATTTATTATGAAGAGGAAATTAAATACTGTTGGGTACAGGAGCTTGCAGTCTCAAAGGCTTTATGAAACCAAGGCTGCAAGTCAAAACCACACTTTACTGGGGAGTAAGCCCCATTGATTTGACCAAACTGCGGGAGGTAGTGGAGGACAGAGGTGCCTGGCGTGCTCTGGTCCATGGGGTCACGAAGAGTCGGACACGACTAAACGACTAAACAACAACAAAAGCCCCATTGAATTCAATGGACTTCACCTCTGAACTGATATGGAAATCAAAGTTTCAGGAATGCTTTTGAAATATCAACATTTTCTTTGAAAGGCATTCCATATATTTCATTAAAATTTCAAGCCTTTCCTCATAACATAATCAATGGGGCACTATAGTCCCACAAAGCAAGATTTTTGTTTGTTTGTTTTTTGTATTGCAGCCAGTTAACCCTATGGAATGTTTGTGCACATGCAGTACAAACTTCTTAGATAGTGCCCTTTTCTTGATTTGTCTTTGTAGACCCTTAAATCTAACCATGGTTGCATGGGACCCACTTTCCTGTGAGTGGCTGCCATGTGGTTGAAGTAGTGCTTAAATGATCCAACTACACTAGCAGAGAGTCGGTGGGTGGGTCTTCTCCTCACCTCCTCCCAGCAGGGAACTGCACACTTGAGTTCTCTATGTGAGGCTGGTTCTTTCAAACATTATCCCATCTGCACAGGAGCCAGGCATGGAAAAAAGAATGTCCTACGTCAGTGTTCCCCAACCTTGGGCCTCCAGCTGTTTTTGGACTACAACTCCCATCATCCCTCACTAGCAAGACCAGTGGTCAAGGATGATGGGAATTGTAGTCCAAAAACAGCTGGAGGCCCAAGGTTGGGGAACACTGTCCTATGTGACCAGGGTAACATTTAAAGGTGTCCTAAGCTGTCTTCCTTTTTGTTCTCCCATAGTAGTGATTGAAAAGGTTGGATTGAACAGAAGCAATGTATTCAGTTGCCTGGGATCCTGCAACAGTCATATTTGTAGAATAATAGTTGCAACAAGTATACATTTTGTTTTGCATGCCATATGTTTGCCACTGCTTTGTGTTTTTTTCTACAATCGAGTGGTATATAATTTTTTATGAAATAAATAAATAAATAAAATATTGTAGGGTCAAAATCCTTTTGCTTTGTTAATGCCTAGTTCCTCTGGTCATTTTAGGGGCATCATAAGTTCAGGTTAACATGTTTTTGTTTTGCTCTTAACATGAAGCTAAATGTTTTGTTGTTATTACAAAATATATTGTCAACACTCCAACATTTATTCAACATTAATTAAGATTGTGGCCTTCTATCTCCTAGCTTTACCAGCTTTTCAGAGATTTTCCAGGTAGCAGCAATTGCAAATCATTGTCTCAGAACATATTGAAAGCATTCCAAAAAAATCCCACCCTCTGGCTCTTTTTAATGACAAAACGGTTTTTGGTTTTTCTTTTTGGGGGGAATCAGGTGGGAGTAGAGACTGAATGTTACCTGAGAACTTGAGCAATCTGATGGGATAGGCTGGAATCCAGTTGACCAGTTGGCTCAGTTTTTAGATTTACAGCATGATCTGGCCATGCTTTCCACTTCAGCTGCCATGAGTTCATTTAAAAGACAGAGCTCTGTCATTTAAGCCAGTAGCAAAGTTTCCTCTTTATTTAGGGTTTCAATGCCCAACATGCCCATTATTTCCAAGCCTGCATTATAGCACAGCTATAAGTTAGTATTAATTAATAGCATAATGTCCAACACCAAGCAACCTCAGCGTGATGGGGACTACAACTCCCATCATCCCTAACCATTGGCCATGCTGGCTGAGGCTGATTAAAGTCATAGTCCAAAACATCTAGAGCGTACCATGTTGGGAAGGGATGTCCTATGCCTTTGAGCTAACATCTCCTGCAGTATCACTGCCATGGAGTGAGTTATGGGAGGCGATAGCAGTTTATTGAAAGCTTGCATCTTTTTTTCCCCTTCGTGAGCTGTCCCAAAACTCATTTTAGAGGGCAGGTATATAAATATGGGACGTGGGTGGTGCTGTGGGTTAAACCACAGAGCCTAGGATTTGCCGATCAGAAGGTCGGCAGTTCAAATCCCCGCGACGGGGTGAGCTCCCGTTGCTCGGTCCCTGCTCCTGCCAACCTAGCAGTTCGAAAGCACCTCAAAGTGCAAGTAGATAAATAGGTACCACTCCGGCGGGAAGGTAAACGGCATTTCCATGCGCTGCTCTGGCTCTCCAGAAGCAGCTTATACTGGCCACATGACCCGGAAGCTGTACGCCGGCTCCCTCAGTCAATAAAGCAAGATGAGCGCTGCAACCACAGAGTGGGTCACGACTGGACCTAATGGTCACGACTGGACCTTTACCTTTATATAAATGTGGAAAAAATAAATAAATCTGATGACCTCTAGGTTTCAGCAACATTAGAGAAGCTCAGCAAGTAGGTAGAGGCAACATGCAAATTTTGGTAACTGCAAAGGTAACTGCTTTTGGGTCTCCAGCAAGTGGCAATGGCTATAGGTAACCTGTCTTTGTGTGTTCCACTGGAGACTATTTTCCTTCCACTACTACCTTCTGCCTCAAATTTGGGGAGGGAGACTCTTGGTAGAGCTGAGCCGAATTTTCATGGGTTTAGATTTTCCTGTTAAAATGTACATGCCTGGTGACAGAGCTCAAACAGCTGAGAAAATGGCATTGAGTTATATAGCAGCACGTTAGTGTACATATTGTAACTGATATGACTTCAGCGGATACTAGATAGATAAGGCCAGCCATCTCCCAGCCTGTCTCTTTCTTATAGCAGTGATCCATCCATTCGGTTGCAGCAGCCTGTAGATTTAGGATGGTCCATAAACCTGCTCAATGCAGTGGTGCTATGCGGCCAAGCTAGTTCCTCAGGTGTTGCACCCCATCAATTTTTATAAATGTCACAGCCAATGATAGCAGCCTATTTCCCTGAAGTCTGCATCTCGCTTACTTCAGAGCACAGAAGCATAGGATGGTGCCTTATATGGAAGCAGACCAGTGGTCCTCAGTATTGTCTATACTGATTGACAATCACTCCAGGTTTTCAGGCAGCAGCCTAACCTGAATATTCAGGGGGTTGAACCTGAAACCTTCAGTATTCCAGGTAGATGTTCTGCCATTGAGCTAAGGCCCTTCCCTCACACACTAATGTTTCATATGCATCAGTCATGTGAAAGTGGAGTGTAATTCATAGCCTGGGACTGCTTAAGTGATTATAAGATCAAAGGGTATATTTCGTTCCTTTTTAGAAACCTAATAAAAGTGTTAAAGAGTTTCCTTGCAGTATTCTTCTTCAGGATAGGAAAGAGGTTGAATAAGTCTTGAATATAAGTTGTAATACAGAATGGACATTTCACTTTTCCCTGCTTTATTTAAAAAAAAAAAGAACATTTTGCATATTTAATTACTTCTCAAGGTTTTTGCATTTTATTCAAGAAATATGTGACTCACAGAAAATCATTTTAAAACAATAGTCCTGCAAAGATCAGGCATTCATTATTGTTACTGAGTTATAATTTTAAAATGGTTTTAGTTAATGAATTCCTAGCAGACTCATCTAACTTTGCAATCTCAAAAGTTCATATCTGTAAGGATAGCAAAGTTAACACAGCTGATAGTGAGCTGTTAACTTAAAAAGAAAAAGAAAAAAAACACATACAAAGCAACAAGTAGCTTCAGATTTGTGATTCTGGGTCTGCTTCTGAGAAATGTAAGCGCTTTTGAATTGTCCCTGTTCAACAGGACAGGCTGAATGGCTTAATCGAAAGGTTCTTGTTCAGTTAATGGTGAAGAACATTGCACGGCAATAATAGATCAGTTCTCATAGAATGAAACCCTGAAACAGAAAATAATTTCCTTCTTAGAATTAGCCAGCTGGGGTCTATGTTATTGTTTAAGTTGCATTTGGGTTTGTTTGTTTTTTAAAATCCAAAGTTGGTTGTTTCTTTTTTCTTGCTTGCTTTGTAGTGCTCTAAAATCATGTGTGAATGTAGAGCTAGTGCCTGTAGTTCCTTATTTTTATTTTGAGTTATTTACATTTTAATTTTGCATGCCTGCATGTTTTGACTATGGAAAAGGTCAAAGTCCTTAGAGAGCTGCAAAAGTGATGGCAAAAAAGAAAGAAGGATATCATGGGAATTAGATGGCGAGACGGGGCACAGAGGAAAAAAAATGAATATGGAAGAAAAGAAAAGGAGAAGGCATACTGTTGCTGATGTGAGGTAAAAGTTAGCTTCCTTCCCTTGTATATTTATTCCCTCAATCTTCGTCGTTGCTATTTTAATTATAGGAGTATTTAATACTTTAGGGGTATCTAGGCGTATTTAATACTTTAGGAGTCTTTAATACTTTAGAAGTCCTAGCCTATGACGTGCTTGGTTATTATCTCAAATAAGAGCAAGGAGAAGAGATCTTCATTGTGTGATGTGTCCTGGTTTTCCTCCTGGTCAACAATTTTGAATTCACATTTAAGACCTACTGGGAGTAAGACCTACTGAACCAGGTGAAACTTACTTCCGAGTAGACAAGTTTAGGACTGCACTGTAAGATGCTGCTTCTCTGTCTTTTCACCAGGTGACTGATTTTAGAGAATAGATCTTATTGCAAGGATACAGATGAGCTGCTTCAGAAATTAAATTCGTATTTTTTTTAATGAATGATCCCAGGATATTTCCTTGCATGTACATATATAATTTGCAACATGGCTGGTTGGGATTAATGACCAGCATCAGATGCTGTGATTGTAACTAGGAAAAATGCTAGAATTCCATTGCATTCTTAAAAAAAAAAATACTAGAAAATTATGAGTGTAGACTTGTGAGGCCCTGGCACAGTTTGCGGGAGAGAGAGGGCGGGGATGTAATCTGGTAACCACCCTTTTAGAAAGGGGTAGCTTTGGGCCCTTGGCTGGAGGAAACTTGGGACTCAGCTATGCAGCTGCAAATAAAACATTTTAAGTTTGTTGCAAAGTGCATTATACAAATGTGACACTGGATGGCAATGGTGAGTTATGGCAAATCCAATATATTTTTCAAAACATTTTTTAAAAATGCATTTTCACAACTTTTTAAATATGTGCCTAGATTCCACCCTAGTAGCAAATATCTGGCTTTCTTTCAGCCTAACTGCCAGCCCCAGTAGCAGGGGGCTCTCACCTGTACACCCATTGTGACTTCCCACCCCTTTTAAGCCAAGCACAATTTTTCTGCACACTTTGGGGATCCTGGATGATCCTTTCCCCCAATTTCTATGTCCAGTGCATTTACATGCAGGATAACTCATTTGGAAACTTGAGTACTTGGTGCTCTCTATCCTGTTTGGAAACTGAAGAAATGAAAACAGCTCAGAAATGCAGCATCCTTCTACAGGCATTTTGCTGTTGCCCAAGCTTTGTTCTCCTGAAACTAAACAAAGGAATGCTTAGGGTGATTTACTTTTGGGTTCACCTTCTGTTTAAGGTCAGCAAGAGAATTTGCAGTGGTTGTCGCCTAGATGTTCAGGCTTGCTTTTGAGACATAAAAGGATGACTTAGCTCCGGTTATCACAAAGCATGTGTCTGGCAGGCTGCAGATTTTTCCATGGCTCATCATCAAATTCTGCCTTTGCATCTCATTAGAGATGTGCATAAATTGGGATTTTACTATGCACTCCTTCTTACTAACAAGGAACTGTTAACGTTTCCCATATTGCAGACTTTTCTTTTGCCTCATATTCATACAAATGGATTTTCCCCACCAGTAATTAAGGCGGAAAGTGCGTTTCTAAAAGCACCACAATGTGTAGTTTAAATAGTACTCACTATCTAGAGACGATTGCAGAAGCAGTTTGCCATGGGGAGAGGGGAGGCACTATTTTAGCTTTCCAGCAGGTGGGTCACTGTTGCTTAATGGGATGGAGAGAGGCGAGGCAAGGCGATGAGGAGGCTGGCACAGTGCAAAGGCAACAGTGGAGCCAATCTGGTACTCCTGTCGATACGTACAACAAAAAACCATAATAACAATAATAACACAAATTAACAACACAAATTTATATACAGTAATATCCCTATGCCTACTCCTTGTTTATCACCACTCTCTCCCCCCTCTGTTTCCCACTGTTATCCTCCTTGTCACTTAGATATTCATTCCAAATTCTTCGTATTTATCCATTCTTATTTTGTGTTGACAAGCAATTCTTTTGTATGTAGCTAACCTGTCCATATTATCAATCCATATGCTCCGTGGAATCTTTTTGAGACTCTTCCAATTCATCAGAACAAGTTTTTTTGCTTCTATTATAGCGCAATACAACCACTTTTTGGGCCCCTTGAGATCTTCCAAGTTTCCAAAATATAATTTAGAATTAAATTCAGTTCCCCTAAATAACAATTTCTTATTATTACTTTTGCTATAAATATCCTCACCTCACTCCAGAATGGTCTGATCATCGGGCAGTTAATCAACATATATATTAAGTTCACATATGTTGATGTGTTTGCACAATGTCAACCTCCCTGCCACCTTCCCCCTCCTATTAAGCTCCTATTAAGCAACCGCAACTCACCTGTTGAGAAGCTAACAAACCTGCTCCGCCCTACCTGGTGAGCCAGTTCTGCATTATTGTCAATGATTTTTTGATTTTTTAAAATGTAGAACTACATTCTACTCAGAGTAGAGCCATTTATATAGATGACATAGTTCAGGGATTTTTGAATTAGTTCCATGAACATCATTCAACTGAACTAATTAATCCAAGCATTGCATAAAGGCTTGCATTATGAAGACAATTGACAATTAACAATAGCATTTCTCAACGCTGCAAGGCATGTGCTGCTGGGTATCTTACAAAAGTTGACTTCCCACCGCAACTTCCCAGCAAATTTACTTAAGCCTTTGGGTTCCAAAAGCACAACTGTCTGTGATTTTGAGCAAACAGTGTGTTACATTTTTTGCTTTCTTTGCAGATGTGGATCAAGCCTCTCTGAATATTCTAGCTGTATACCTGAGGCTTGAGGTTGCTCACAAAGCGCCCATCACCACCTCCCTCGTCCCCTCTCACAAAGAGCTGTCATTCAGTAGTAGAGCGAGTGTTTTGTATGCGAAAAGCCCCAGGTTTGATTCCTGGTAAAGGGACCCCTGACCATTAGGTCCAGTCATGGCCGACTCTGGGGTTGCAGCGTTCATCTCGCTTTATTGGCCGAGGGAGCTGGCGTACAGCTTCCAGGTCATGTGGCCGGCATGACTAAGCCGCTTCTGGCAAACCAGAGCAGCGCACGGAAACGCCATTTACCTTCCCGCTGGAGCGGTACCTATTTATCTACTTGCACTTTGATGTGCTTTCGAACTGCTAGGTTGGCAGGAGCAGGGACCAAGCAATGGGAGCTCACCCCATCGCAGGGATTCGAACTGCCGACCTTCTAATCGGCAAGTCCTAGACTCTGTGGTTTAACCCACAGCGCTACCGGCATCCCTACTCAGACACTTACGATACCATTAACTATGAGTCAACAATTCATTGCAGGAGATTGCATCTAGTCAGATGACCCTTGGGATCCCTTCTAACTCTACAAATTATATGATTGCACATGTGAAGCCAACAATTTCATCATCATCACCATCATCATCATATTGTCTTAGAACAGCAGCAGGTTGCTCATCTTCATTTGGCATCTCCCATGTTCATTACCGTGAATGTAGGTCACCAGCTCAGAATATGCCATACATATTTGGTACACTGGTCCATGGTGCTGATCTCAAGTTGCTCACTACGTCCCTAGACCAACAAGATTGAGCACCTACTAATGATAAGATTTTATTATTAGACACCCAACACTTGAATTGTTAGAGTTGTAGACATGAATGCAGTGGCAAGTGTCAGAATCAACAGACGGCAAGCTTTTGTGAATCATATCACATTTAGTCTACCGAAGCATTCAGTTTGGTTTTACATCATAGTTACATTCTAAGACAATGCATGTTTACTCAGAAATAGCTTCTGCTGACTTGAATGGGGCTTATCAGCAAGCATATTTGCAGAGAACTGCAACCTTTCCTGGCTGATTATTTGTCCTAGCTCCAGAGTTTTTGTGCTGCTGACAGAATGGCCAACTGTAGATGATCTGAGGTCACACTTCAGTGTGGCACACTTTGAATAACAGTGGGCAGTTTATTTTTAGAAATATTATGTTCCTCATTAAAGGGAAGTGATTATCTTTTCCTTTAGTCCAGGAGTGCTACATGCTCTCAAGTTATTAGCATTCATGAGCAATCTCCTTGTAAAGAACTCCATAGGGGCTCAGAATTAGTATGTGATTCTGTATTTGACAGAGAAGGCGGAAGCATTCCAACTAGCTCTGTCACAAGTCAGTGTGATTCTGCCTAAAGACTAGAGTCATTAAACGCTATATATTGACAGCAAGGAAGATCCTGGATTATTAAGATGCTGTTGATTCCTTACTATTTGGAATCGGAGCTGGCCTGCTACTGAACAAAGATTTCTCTTGCTAAAAGATGAACACTCCTGAAAAAGCGCACTAAAATTTACTATTTCAGAGGCGATTGTGACTACCTTGATTACGGAGTAAGATGTATTTTCATAGAGTACATAGGTGAGTTTCTGTAGAAAGTAGCTGATAAGTATCTATGAAATTGCTTAATTACATTTACTTTCAGTTTTGTGATCATTTAACGTACAACTCCACAGAGTAAAAAAATGGTTACAAACTATTAGATTAATTAAATCAAATTAATGCAATCATCAATATGATTATGCTTGTGTGTGTATGATTGACCTTCATTTCTAAATGTGACCTTGATAATTTCAAAATGATTTAATTATATTGTTTTTGCATGTTGCCTAATTTTAATATCATTTAATGATTAGAGGATGCCCTTTTGATTTCTTCCAGTTAATTGGGTTCACACTACTGAAGTGAAGCATTAAGAAAATGGTAGTGAAGTTTAACTTGAAAAATCAGTGCTTTCATATAAAATCTTGGCATCTAGGATCCAAAGCAGCGTGGGGTGGGGATTTCATCTTTTCTGTCTAACGGCAGCCCCTCTGCACTCCCTGAAAAGCCTCCAGGGAATTTTTGAGACCTTGGATTATTAAATCACTAGTCCAGGGAGCTGTGGAGTAGAGAAGGGAATATAGAAGTTTTTCCTTGTGTGAAAACTCACTTGCAAAAAGTACCACCGGATTTGGCCATGTGTCTTTTGCTGAGAAGGACATGGCCTGCAAGCAGGACAAAAATCCATGCGGCAGAATTCGAAGATCTATTTTAGACTGTTTCAAGGGCTTGGGCCTTCCCAGTGGGAGTTTATATCTTTCATTTTTGAACTTCAGATGCCCATAATATTTCACAAACAACTTTCAAGAGTCTTCTGATTTTCAGTCATTTGCAGTGTGGCATGAGAGGCTGCTTTAGAAAGTTTCAGGAAACAAAAACCCAATTCTAATGCAGAGAACTAGTTTAAGTAGGCACAAGGGATTATATGTAACCAACAGCACTGTCATCTCTTTTTCTTGGAATGGCAGATTCCTATCCTGGGATCCTGGGAAATGTAGTTTCACAGGGCACCCTACTATGATCATTGTAACCTTGGTGTGCTACGTGTGTCAGGAGTCCTTGTGCTTATACGTCATCCCTCCCAAAACAATAACACCTCTATAGGGCTGCAATGTATACCCTTGTTCTTTGTGGGCAACCTCTTCATGTTCCCCTTAAATGAGGATTTTTTCCTGTTAATTGTCATCTCAGTGGTTTTCGTTTCAAAATAAATCACTACAGTTGAAATTATACTGGGATAAAACAGCATGAAGTAACATTATTTCTTCAGAATCATCTAATTTTACCTGCAGTCCATCAATAATGACAGCTCTGCATCCCTATTTATTTCAAGATTTCACAGCATGTCCATATAAGCCAATTTTGCCTGATACACATATTTTTTGGAAACAATTTCCCTTATTACAATTATTTTATATGTTGTTACATTTATATATGGCACCAATATATGCATTTTTATGCTCAATTTCCCCTAATATACATAATTTTTGTATACATTATTTGGCTGGAGAACTGCAACACAAAACTGGGAGGAGAGTAAATATCAAAGAACGCCTGTTTTTCAGTTCAAATATTGTTTTGGAAAATGTGGATAAGATAGGTTAGCATTAAAGTGGAAACAGAATGAACCCCCCTCCCCCAATCCCTAGTTGTATATAGACACTTTGAATTGAGCAGAATTTATAACTGGCAAGATGCTGGTCCTCCCGTTCCATATACTTACAAAATTAAGGTTGCAGTCCTATACACGTGTAGGATTAAGCCATACTGATCTTAGAAGAGCCTTCTTATGGGCAGATATATGTGGTACTAATGGCTATAGATGTTGGATGTTCTGATCCTTTATAATTTCATCTAGTAGAATTATCCCTTTGGCAATGTGGGACAGTTCCTTGGGGTGTTCAGATTTATGTATGCAAGATGAAATAAGATGTTCTCAGTGAAACTGTCCTTGGTTTCAAACAGTCATTTCATTAGAGTAATAAAATGACATTGTCATTGCCAATGGTAGTGGTTGCATACTAATTTTGTTTACTTACTGAAAAATCTAGGAGAGATATGAGGGGTGGGGGTGGGGTTAAGGCTAGATAATATTTCAGAGCTTCAGGAAGTGTCGTTCACATACCAGTTAAATGAAGGAATCTGGACATTAAACTGATGATTTCATCCCCTCCAAGCTAATTCTGCTTATCCCAGCAATACTTCTCAAGATAAGTGTGCTTCGAATAGCACCCTGTATTTTGGCTTAAGCAAGAGGCACAGCTGTGTGATCAGCATACAGATCTTTGTTGTCTTTGTGTGACCTCACACTGCAGCCCTATCATACACACTTTAAATGGGTTGGATGAAGGAGCTGGTTTCCTGAGGTCCACTGCAGTTGAGACCCAAGGAAACACTGAGCAAGTAAGCAGACTTTTCCATCTTCCTGCCAAGAGTGTGTGAAACAACTCAGTAGCAGTTTCACGAATGCTCGAGTCCCACAGAAATGACACCACAGTGTCAAAAACATAATTCAGCATTTAATTCAACAGTCTGTGGGTCTTGATCTGCCTGCCATTCTGATTCAACCCAAGCCCTGCCATCACAGTGCTTAACCACTAACTCACCTTGGTGAGATACGAGATGTTGGGAAGCTCATTGATGCTGAACCCCGGCAAGATAGCTGTGGTGATAATTGGCAGCTACTGTGACATCAAAGGGATAGAGACATCCATAAGAGGGGATATTTCAGCCCTCCCTGATGCTTCAGGTGTGCAGCCTCAAACTACTTTTTGATTCATTGCTGTACCTGGAAGCTGTTTCCTATGGTTAATAGTCTCACTTTTCACTAGCTGTCTGGTGAAAAGGCTGCAATCGTTTTTGTTTCAGCCACACTTAGTACCCATCATTCATGTGTCTTTCTAACCTCAAGGCCAGATTATTGTAACACATTTTATGTGGCAACTCTTCCTCTGGGTGGAGATGAGTTTCTAGGACACTTCACTTCAGTGTTGCAGCATTAAAAAGTGTTTTGCTTTGACCAAACCCCTGCATAACCCACAGAGTAAAGGCCTCACAGCCCATTTGTCATCTGCAAATGTTCTTTTGACTGTACAATCTGATTGGCCTGGTATGTTTCTACTATAAAGCGAGACATATTCATAGTGACTGCCCCACAGCTCTTAGGCTTCCTGCTCTTGGAGACATGCTTGTCAGAGCTTAAACACGAACATGTTCTCTGAGTGCTGTAAGCCATGTTAATTGTGGGTTAGCATTTAATAGGCAGTGTTATGCAGATGGGGCATAGAGAATCCTGACCCTGTATCTGAGTGTTTTAATAAGCAATTTGCAAACAATTCTATATACTAATGCCAATTCAGGTCTCCCCATGCTCAAGACGTATAGCTAAAATTACACGATCCATGCACAAGGGAGAGATATCAGCAAAAATATCTGCAAGAGAAATCTTATCAGCCGAGAGGAGTGATGGTTGATTGAACAGCTTCATAATAACTCAGTGGAATAGAATGTTGAAAAGCTAAGAAGGAACAACTTGAGGGGAGGGATAGAAAGGGTACAGAGGAAATGTCTGGAAGGGTCACTTCTTGATTCACCCAATTTTAAAATGTCCCCAGGGGTAGAAGTGGGAGCTACCCATAGAAATCAATGGAGAAATGCAGGATTTTAATGTTACTGGGATTGGGCACCAGTGTGTCAACTCCGCCCCCTAAGAAAATCAAAAGGTAGTGGCAAAGAGAAGAATTCATGCTCTTTCTAATTCAGTTATTTTGTGTGAATCACATGCACACACAAACTACATAGCCACTGCAATGCTAATTCCAAAGCAGCTGCACTTTACTGTCCTGATATTGCAGGTTGGAAGAGGCTGTGACTAAAAGAGGGTAACTGATGGCAGCCTTGCAGTGCAGTTCACACAGAATATTGCAGGTCAGTCTCTGTTTGGTAAACCAGAGCCCTGCAATGTAGTCCAGAGGTCTTGCCATCCCCTAATGCAGGCTAAAGGTTATGTTGAGGTTGACATAGAAGCTTATAACAATCCTCTGCTGGCATCCATTGCTTTTGTTCCCACATTGTGTGTTGGGCTCAGAGAATAGTAATTACTAACCTCACAGTGTAAACTCTCTTGCTCCATTCTAAATCATAGTTGCAGCATCCACGACAGCATCCCCGAGGCTCAGCACTCAGTGTGACCAAACCAGTTGCACTCTCCTAAATTTGCCTCTGGTTAGAGGCCTGTGCTGAAAGAGTTGCTTTCTCTCTGCAGCCCTGCTGTTATAGTTCAGACCAGAGTGAGACTACTTATATTACCCTCTCAGAGTTCCACCCAGGCCAAACCGTTGTTGGCATCCATCTGTTTCAAGAGACAGTGCATTACGCTTCTGGGGGTCAAACCACTGGCAAATCACAACGCCTGCTGTGGCCGCAGAGACTAGAAACTCATAACTGCTGCCTCCTGCGTTGTTTTTGCTGCATTAGCCGCACCAAAATAATGTCCCTGGGACACAAGCTTGGGCAGTGCAGTCAATTTCATGCAGAGGTCATGTGCCATTGGACTTGCATACAGATTGCAGTTGCAAATGTTCAAAAACTTCTAAAAAGCTACCAAAAAAAGCAGATGAAAGAATACCCAAGTAAGAGCAGGAATTCTGGTCTTTAATGCTCACTTCTATTTTGCATATCACTTAGCCACAGGCTCAAGTAGCATGTTTCTCAGGGATACATTTTATTGCAGGGCTCCACTTGTTTTATTTAATTTTGCTTTTAGTGTTATTGCCAGTTTCAAGCTGTAAAGGCGGAATGAATGAGAAATCCAAATAAAATTATCTATACACACACACATACATTCTGCTTTTGGCATGAGAAATTCTACAGGAAATAAGAATGTATTAATTGTACTCCTGCTTCTTCCCACCAGCCCAGCTATCTTGGGCAAGCTTATGCTATGAAGCACAGAAGCTTCTCTGGAAAAAAGGAACAACACATAATTTATATATTTAATGGTGATTTAATGCAGGTTACTTTTTGTGGTGTTTTTTTTTTAAATCATAAATAGATCAACTAATCTTTTGTAAATAGATCACCATGTGCTGTGAAACCTCAGTTTTTCATTAGAACCATTTACATCAATGAGGAATATTTACCCTGTTGCATTACATTTTATAGCAAGTCTTGTTTTGATCAGAATATATATCGAGTGGGTACATGTCTTTGTTCTTTTATTTTCTATGACCATAAATATATTTTTGTGTAAATCCTAGGAAAGTGATTATTACTTAGACTCCGTTCCAGTACCCATTCATTTTGAATGGGTAAAATTCCATCGACTCTTAAAGCACTAGCAAGTGCACTAGCATTCAAATTCTGTGACCGAACACAGAACAGAGTTAAAATGAGAAGTTGGAAGTCAAACTTCAATTTCAATTAGGAACGGGTGTGTGTGTGTGAAACCTGTGAGTTTCAGGAATTTGAATACAGTCGTGTACTTGGGTATCAAATAATTCGAAAGTATACTTAGCAATATTTTATATTGGGGAAGGAGTCAGTTTTACTATGATGTGTTGGGTTTTTTTTTTTTAATTTAAAGATCTTGTTATAAACACAAGCATAATTCAAATGTACATGTATGTTTTTACTTTGTAAATATAGTACGTTTACTCCTAAAATGCAAGGCAGACGGATGGGGACTTCAGGGAGAATCATCACAAAGAGCACAAGTGTGAGTGGAGAGGTGTATAAGCTGGAACATAACGATGGGAGTCAATCAGACACTGCAGTTGGTACGGTTGGAACAGGTGGGAAGAAAAGACGGTCCAGCCTTAGTGCCAAAGTGGTTGCCATGGTATCTCGAAGAAGCAGAAGCACATCCCAGCTTAGCCAAACAGGTGAGTGGAGTATGGACAGTAAGAACGTGGCTCTGTGTACATGTGAAATGAGATTAGGGTTTAGATGTCAAGAAAAAACTGTTTCCAGGTGTGGAAGGCTTTTTGTGTGTGCTATCAGAGAAACACAATAGCAGGGACAGCCAAGGTGGTGCCCTCCAAGATGTTATTGGACTACACCTGGCCAGCAACACCTGGAGTGCACCATATTGGCTTCTCCTGTGTTATGGGATAAATCTCACAACACTAGGTTCTGTCACCTGCAATCTATAATCATGATCTGAAAGAAGCCAGTCACAACACCTACACAATTTTAAATGCATCATATTGTAATGGGTTAAAACAGAAAAAGAAAAGTATTGATTTTGAGATTAACTAATGCTGACTCCTTTCTTTATCCCCCCCCCCTTTAAAACCCTGAAAAATAGGCTTAGTGAAGTGAGTTAATTAGAGTGTAGCATGATGCTACATTACATGCTTTGAATGGCCCTGTTCTTTCTTGTTGCTTTAGAAATCTTAAAAGCCTAATCTCTATAGCCTAAAGCAGAGCTACTAAAGAGGGAATGAAGAGAGATATTGGCTCACAAGTTCTGTTAAAATCAACTAGGGGGTTTACCCTTTATTCTGACAAGAGCAGGCATCCTTAAATGGCTTTACAAATAAATAGTTGATGTAAGAGTAGATCTCAGTTAGACTTACAACAGTGGTTCAATCTCTTGATCAAGATACTCACAATCTGCAGGTATGTCAGATGTTTCTGATTTGTGTCATCAATTTTTTGTTTTCCCCATTTCATTTTTAAGTGCTAGTCCACCCACTTCATCACCCTTTCCTGGCATCAGTAGGATTAAATGAAATAAAGTTGTTTAATACTATGCAGTGCCTTATGCAGCTGTGATTTTCAAATAAACCTGCCAGATAAATTCTGTGTTTTACCAATCAATAGATGTCATAAGAAACTTCTGAGTTAATGTTTTGGTATACCAAGAGTCATTTTATTTGGAACACTTAGTGATGCTGCAGAATTACTCCTAGATGATTTGGTACATGGGTTATGTCTTGAAATGTCTTCTTAACTGTGGCGATAGAGGTTAGTAGGAATGTTTCTGTGGCCTGTCCAAAAATTAAGCATTTCCAGACACGATCGTATCTGAACCTGCAAGCAAAGTAAGCCACATTTCTGCTGTATTGAATTAAGGACTGAGATGAAAGGCACTGAATTCATGTTCCCAAATATTTGTAGTGGCAGAGCCAGGCTTCATCTTGCAAAATGGCTGTTATGTTGAGCTTGCAAAAGGAGAAAGTCTCACATTAAAGTGCCATCAATATTTGTATTCTCAAATACTACTACTGATGAGGAAACTGGAGACTCACCTTAGACGATGTAGTACCCTTGCATATGTCTTATTACCCTAATCCAAAACCTATGCACTTGGATCTCTAGCAACCCCATATATATTTACACACACGCATACAGACACACATGCTTGCAGCCTAGTTTCTGAAGCAAATGTTTCCATTTCCATTGCTTTTTCTACATTCCCTCACTATGCTAAGCTGGCATACGAAGAATAAAGACATAGTGCTGTTTTAACCTGCACACTTATGTGTATAAGAATGCATGTTCAACCAAAGTGTTAAACTATATACAGTATCATTTTATAATTATTATAATAATAGAGGTTGTAGTGTGCATAAAAAAATCTATTGTATGATACTGGAAACAAGATAATATGTGTCAAGAAAATTCATGCATCTTTAACTGATTTTGGTACATGTTTCAGTTTATCGTTGCATTAATAACAATGAAAAACTGCAGTGGTACACATGTTTGGAAGCAAGTTCTGTTGAAACCTACTGGGCTCACCTGTAAGTGAGTTGGAAATAAGACAGGCAAATGAGCTAAGCACCATCCAGTTTTCCTTCTAAGAAGTTATACTGTTAGCTTTATTATAAATAATGTGTTTGTGCTGTTTCCTATGGAAAGATCATTTACCCAGGTAATGTTTCATATACTTTCTCCAGTGAAATAAGAGACCGATTCCCAGTGAAGCTGTACAACTCTTATTTTGCCCTTTGTACATAATGAGGTATTGGTGTGTGTGTGTGTGTGTGTGTGTGTGTGTGTGTGTGTGTTTGCAGCCCTGAAGTGATTTCAGAGGGAAGGTTCCTTTCCAGTACAGCTTTAGACTAGATTGACTGTTTTCTTGGATCTTCGTGTCTGGGGTAGGTGGGCGGGGGGGGGGGGGATTCTCATCACAAAACAGAATCTTAGTACAAAGTGATAACAGTTCCCTTCCACTCAAGGGGAGAAATAAACTGTTTCCTTCAGAGACTATATCTGGAAGACAGCACTAAACACAAACTTGTGAAGCTTGTTCGGGAACAGCAAGCAGATCGTAGCATCATTTAGTGCAACGCTGCTGAGCATTTGAGGACAAGATGCTACAAATGGCAGAAGTGCTTTTAAATTCTGCGCAGGGCTTTCCAATGGCAGGTCCCAAACACAGGTGCAATTCTGTTGGTGGGTCTCTCTGTTTTGGTTTTTTTCAAAAAAAAGAAATTGTGGATACAGTTTGCTGTTGGTATTATAAGGCTGGAGAACTATCCCTGGAGATCACCGTTTCAACCCAGTTTCCTATGGTTTATGTAAAAGAAAGAAAAAAAGGAGAACACATAAAACAGGAACCAGAAACAAGTAACTTTGTGCTTACAGAGCCTTACCACATTGTTCGGATTTTTCTGCCCTTGCCCAGTCTATATTTGAGCCACCTAAAGTAATAGATTTATGAATTGCCTCTGCAAGTCAGCCCTATTTCAGAATTCTTCTTGAGGAAGAGATTGCTTCTCTCGTACATGTGGTTTTCTTGCCTTCCAACCAATGAATTTAGAATGTGACATAGAAGCTTTCAATACAGTGTTTGGTTTGAATGTAATTCATGTGTATATTCTGTGGGCTTAGGAATTTGCAGCTACTGAAGATGTAGCATGCCAAGTCACTCAGGGGTTTTAGAATGGTGAATTAATATTAAATAATGGGGCCAGTCCTGTTTTATTCTAATACCACTCAGATAATACTAGAAGAAATTTGAAAATAATTAGCTTTTTTTCAGTTACCTGGATGTCATGGAATGCTTGTAATCCTTTTAACAGGACTAATTATGTGACCAGGGATTATTTAGAGCAAAAGATTAGGGGATTTTAAGGATTTACTTCAGTAACTGAAAGGACTTGATCTAAAACACATCTCAAGTATATTTATGAATCCCTGTAACATTAATTGGATTTTGCTGCAAGTAAGGTTGCAGTCCTGTATGTTGCTGTGGAATTGCTTAAATCCTATTTACTTCAATGGGATTTAAACAGACTGTCTGCAGGGTTTTAAAGATTCTGTCTCAAGCTGTATTTTTGAAGGTTTCTTCTATTCCAAATTATTTTAAACTCCATTTTTGCATACATGTTGAAAGAACAGACCGTCTTTTCTGCATGCATGGAAAACCCCTTCTTGTTATAAATAACTGACAGAGTTTGAGTGCTAACTGCAATTTAAAATACTGCTGCCTTGACTCTCTCTCAGAAAATATAGGCATCTGGCATGAATAGTTATTAATCCAGAAGAAGAACGGGGCACTCAGTCCACTGAAGCAAGTCTTCTACTGGCATTCCCAGACCATATTGCCTTTCTTTGCTCAGGACAGTAAGTGTGAGAAGTGGCTTGCATGCACCCAAAAGGACTTCTCATATTTCTTTTCCCCAACAGCGGCTCCTCACACTTCATTCAATGAATTTGATAAACACTTTCCTGAGTTTTGGGATTGGCTTATGCAAGCAGCTGCTACTTAAAGAATGGGACTTGGGGGTTCCCAATGTATGCACATGAATGCTGAATTCTTTGTATCCTGGCCAATGTCTGGATCTTCAGATGTTATCAAACTGATGAGTTGACTTTTCTGAGACCACAAGTACAACAATTCCAAAATACAACCCTTGAATGTAATCAAATACAACATATAAGCACAGGGGGCCCCACTGATTTCTCTGGGAACTCCTGACACTCATTCGGACTCTTCTTTTTCACCACATAAGACTTGGAAACATGCTAACTAGGTGTAGTCAGTGCTGGAAGCAGCTTACGAATACCCTTCTCAGTCAACTGTTCTTTGAGAAGGAAGCAACGCTGGTTTCAGGCTGGTATTTTTAGAGTGACAGCTAGGATCTTGGGAATTACATAAAGTGTGCATGCATGAGGAAGTAAACCCATATGCTGTTAAAAATATTCCTAAAAGATCGTTGTAGGTGTCTGTTGGTTGCAAAGACGAGACATTGCGATGTGGAGCAATTTCCCCCCTTATGCCTATTTAATGCAGGAGCCCTAGAAATATTTATAGCTAGAGACAGGGAGTGGAGGAAAAATTAATAACACTGAACAAGGAGGGAGCTGGATAACTGGCAGTGTTTTTGAGTGGGGGATAAATTTGGTTACTTTGACTTCAATCAATAACTTGACTATGACCCCTCAGGCCCTAATGCAAGTATGCTGTTTATGTGAAGCAGCAGCATTAAATAATGGAATTTATTGCAGCAGGTTCACAAATAAATTGCGTCAGGTGAGCCTTACATTTTCAGGCTGCAACTCAGTTGCTCTGGGATGCAGGGCCAGTGCTATGTTGAAATGTGCCCGTTCTTGGTGTAATGGCACACGTATGGTACAATTTTAACAACTTGCCAATTTTTAAAATACTGCATAATGTTTGTTTGTTTGTGTGTGTGTGTTTGTTCATGTGTATGTACATGGATTTATGGTGTGGTCAGAGGGTAAGGCAGAAAAAGCAAACAGCTTATCCTTAGCTCTCTGTATTCTCCCCTTCTCTGCCACTCCCCTTGCCCTCCAGTGGGTTCCTTGTCTTTGGTTGGAAAACCATTCTGGAGGTAGCGTGCTTTACTTTTGGGGGACTGCAAGTAACTTGTACTTTTTGAGGACCGTCAGCCAGGTTCAAGTTGTT